TGCCTCTCTGAGGCAAAGATTAAACATTTGAATTTACTCTTTGACTTTAGAGAATCCAGGAGATGACCCTAGAGAAATACTGAAACTAATGAGAGAGGTAGAAAATACCTCTTCCTTCTGGTGAAACAAGTCCACAGAAATGTAGTGCTTTGGCCCTACTGAAGAGAAAAATGCATGACCAATAATGATCATTATTTACAGAAAGATCTTGCTACCTGAGGTATTTGCAAATACATCTGTATTGTTGAAAATAAATTCTTTCTATTTAAGAATTGCTGCTCTAGTAATAGTCCCATAATGCCACAGTCACTTTTTACTAGTAGGGTTCTTAACCTACATGAATATATATATAAAGATACATATAACACTTCCCACCTCTTTCTGTTTATCCCGTATTTATAACCTAGCAGAAAAAGTAGTAGTAAAAGCCACACAGAACCACTCTGAAAGAGGAATATTCTTGAGTATACACTGTATTCATGTGTCTCACTTCCTTGAAATTTTCGCTGAGATAGGAATTGGCCAAATGGCCTCTGACAATCAAAAGTATTTACAAAGCAAATGAAATTTAGGAAGTACTATAATTACTAGAAAATGCTGTGAGGGAGCATAATGGATGTATCAGCAGAGGATAATTACCACAACTGATGCATGTTCCTGTGAAATTCCAGAGAGGGAAGTAAGAACTTGTTAAGCCATTGAATTTATTCAAAAAGAGATTTTTTATTTTTTATTTTTTTTTTAAGACATCCAGGTATACTGGGAGCTGAACAGTTCAAAAACTCTATGAGGAATCTGTACTCAACGCTTGCCCATCCAAGTAGAAATTAGGTTGTTACTGATGAAAAAAACAGGCATTTTTACTTCAATTCAGTCATTGAAAAATATGATAGATTAGCAAGTTTTCATATCAAAGTTCTCCTATTCACCAACAAAAAGAGATGCAGCATTGGAAGGCCAAGGGCAAGCTACCTTCATCATTAATAGTGTTCTTCGCGTCTTGATTAAGATGTAGAGTGCTATAGTCTGATGTATTCATCTGCTGACTTCTCTTTCAGAGGGGCAATAAAGGGCCTAAACAATTAGTTTCAAGTGGGGCTCTACTCTCTATTAAAAAAAAAAAATAAAGAAAAAAAAAAGAAGAAAAAAAAAAGAGGCCTAGTAGGCCCTGGTCAATTTACCTCAGAGAAGCTCTGCTAATAAAGAAGAAAAGAAAAAACAAACAGAAAAAAAGATATATATCAACCAAAGCTACTCAGACTATTTATGAATTTCACATGGAATCTGCTGAGTGCTGATGTTTTGCAGATTTCTCAAGACAAATGCTCTTTCTCTGTCTGGGAGTAATGGAAAGATATTAACTAATTATTTATGGGACAACCAATTAGCTTGCGCTGTATATCTAAGACTGAACATCATGAAATGCCTATTAGTTGAGCAAGCAGGACAGTGGAGCAATTCCCTTCGGAATGGAGCGAAGCCAAGCAGTTGAACAGAGAAGCACCCTTAGTGAGAATAATTCACTAATACGGATGTAATACTGCTCAGTTTACCTAGACATTGCACATCTGACTAGTAAACCGTTTAGAGTGCCAGAAAATAACCCTTGCACTGTCACTGTCTTGAAGCAGAGCAGCCTGGAGCTGCAACTGCTCGGCTGTACAGTTTTTGCCATACAAAACAGACAACAGACGGTAGCTGAAGTTAGAAAGTCAACAAGGAATTATACCGTTTTGTCTCATGCAGGGACAGAATACAGAGCCCTCAGAGTGCCCTGTGTGTCCTCCTTTTCTTGCAGAAGCAACACAGTTTTACTCTTTCCTGATGTATTGTTAGTCAAGGCCAGCAAAGATGTGTGACTCCTGGCTCTGCTCAAATGCTCACATACGTAACAGTTACTCTCCTCTGGAGAGTGAAAAAGCAAGCAAACAAACAAACCAACCAATAAATTTACATTTAGTTGGAAGGAAACAGTAGTTGAGAAAGTACTTGGTATTCAAAACAAATGTCTGACATAGACCTGCAAGAGGATATAATACAGGCCCACAGGTTTTTCATTGTGAAAGGCAGAGCTGCTGTGGTGCCCGGTCTTTCTGACAGGCTGCTCAGCATCACATGAAGGTTATTCCAGTCTTTTTTTGATTGTGACTTGACAACCAGGCACAACCACCCCACGACATATGAACATTTTACCCTACAGTAAATGCGCACACACATATATGTCCCACTGTCTCACCAGCATCACATCTCAGGGAACACAACTGGGGAATGCTGCCAAAACGGTTTGTCTGCTCCATAACCCCACTGCCTCAGGGAGCAGAGTAACACAAACGGCCTGCAGCCAGGTCAATTTCTTTTCTTATGGGCCTCATCCAACCTGTTACGAGACAGCAAGCCTGAACCAAAATGTGAGAGCTTAGGTGAGGTATGTGGACAAAAAATTAAGACACTTGCATTTCAGTGGTAGGCCTGAAAGAAATCCATCTGAATATCCACAATCAATTCAATTTAACCCTAAAAGGATTGATTAGTTTTCTCTCACAGTAAGATCATGTCTTGAGCAGTAGAGGTTAATAACAGATTGCATTGCATACTTCTACTAATGTTCTCTGGTTCCTCATTTTTTAACTGAAATCCATAAAGAGGTCACGGCAATAACTAAAGATGATTTTCTTTCTATGCCAATTATTGAGATGCTGGGAGGATAATTTTCAGACTCTGAGTGTGATTTTCCAGGAGACTCGATTCTCTTTCCTTTTCCATGCTGGAAGATAAGCAACTGCCAGGAGGGGGATAAAGCAAGATGCTTTGCTGAAATGTTTAAATACAGGTGCATAATACAGAAGTATAAACTAAACAGAAGCTCTATGGGAAACTACATTAAGAAGAAGAAAATTGAACTGACTGCTTTTTGCAGTGGTCAAAGGTAAATAATATGAGTGGCCAGTATCACTTCAATCGACCCAACTACTCAAGTGATCATGTTCATTCTCTGGCTTCTGAAGAAGAAGGTAAATGAATATGAGAAATCTTTTAAATATAGATCTGAAGAGTGCCTTAATCTAATAACGAGGTGCAAATATTATCTTTTATGTGGACCAATACACTATGACGATTTGTAATTTTCTGTGTTTGGAGCTACAAAATCTGTCCTCCAAAAACTGAGGACAAAAAGGGATAGATATCTAGTGCACAGCTGAGTGAGCTCAGTTACTGGTTTGCCCCATGCTGCATTATACTTTACCTGCATCTAAATGGCACTCAGGTAAATGAACACTTAAAATAGTCACTTCCCAGGTCATCCTTGCAACTAAATACCGTGTGAGCACAGCAATCAAGAGAAAAACATATCAGAGAAACTTATAACCATTAAAATCAAATTTCACTGTATCTCTTGGAACGTGAATAAGTACTCTGTCTTATCAAGACTCCTATTTTGATGTCCCACATCACTTTTGTTGAACACCCAGCATATTCCTGACTGAAAGATCATTTAAAAAAAAGTAAAAATAATATAAAATATAATAAAGTAAAATAAAATAAAATAATCGCTTTCAACTTCTAGCTTTCACTCTTTATCATGTAGTTCTTTTTGTTTCTGGCACTGTAAAAATATTCTGCTTTATTTCTGGCTCACGGTATCTGTCCTCTCTAACACAACTGGGAATGTGACCATGGAGCATGCAGGATTCTAATGATGAAACTGCTCTTCCCAAATCCTTGCTATTCACACTCTTTCCATTGGGTGTTGCTATGATATTAAACAGATTACTATTGTGACCTAATGTATGCACACAGAAAAAGCATGCCAACGGCTTAAGGTCTCCTCCACCTGTGCTGCTTTACTCTTTGTTCTATGCAGCCTGAGTCTGTTGCAGTTCGCACAAATAACATACATTAGCTGGTATTAAGAAAATCTGTCAGTGACTTCTTTTGAAAAAGAGGGCCATAAAATTGAGTCTTCCAGCTTGCACTAAAAGTTTTATACTCTTTCATGAAGGTGATTTGACTAAAATTTATATGTACATTGCAGCATACAATTACTGTACACAGTAGTTGTGCAGATGGCTCTCTTTTAATTAGAGAATTTAGTGCATCTTCTGCATAAAGAACCAGGCGAGGAATAAGAAGGAATTCAATGAAAGTAACCAAAAAAGGAAATAGTATAATGAAAATTAAAAAAAAAAAAAAAGTAGAGAATTACTTAGGACATAGTTCGTGCAAGGATTTTAAGCTCATTTAATGCTAGGAACTCCAAGTAGCTCTTTAAACAATTTGAGGGAGAAGTCTTCACAGATCTGTGGCTTCAGGGAGGTCTTGTCACACCGTAAGATTCAGGCACCTGATCACTAAACTTTGCACAGCTGATGACCATAAACATGACAGCTGAAGATTTCAAAAACAAGATACAGGCTAGGACTGTGTTTTTGACATGGCAGGGACATACCACACATATTTGATGGATATCATCAGAAAATGGCAGGGTTTCATTAAGCCATTGCAAGTACAAATGGTATAAAATCACTTCATATTTGAAATATCCTCAGTTAGTATTAAAAGCTGCTGCTGTTGATACTAATAACTGTAAAGAACAGAAAGCTACTACAACCTGAAATTCTGGCCATTTTATAACCTATAATGCAGTTGCTGGTCTAGTTATATTCCTAGGTTGTTAGAAAAGCACTGGCATTTACCTGTGTGTTCTTTGCTCAAATTGGAAAAAGTCACACACAATATACACATTAAAAAAGGGAGAAACAGCAAGACAATATGATTTTTATGTGTACTTAAATTTACAACCATCAGACATAAATGTTTGAATAATATAAAATTGGGCAGAGAAGAAATTGTTATGGGTCAAAAATGATTGGCTTCAACCAGGCAAACTGTATGCCCTCTCAGCAACCAGTGATGTGAGTCCCTCTCAACACACATTCCAGCATTTCTGTATTCTAAACTCTTCGGTAAATTTTAAATATCATAACGATGGCTACACTTACCTGGTAGACCAGGTGGGGTTTTCAGATATTTGCCATTAAAATGTTGAATTACTACTTCACATTTTTCTGTAGACTCCATTCTGGAAAAGAGAAGAGGGTGGGATGAGGGTAGAGGCAATATGTGTTACTAAACTGTTACGAAAGTGCTCAGTCAGCAAAAACAAAAAGGAATAGAGAAGAAGGAAAAAAAAAAAAGGACAAGCACAGATGCTGAGAGAAATCTTCAAAGCTGTTCTTGCTGACTTCTGCAGAGAAACTGGTTGAGCTCGTTACAGTACAGCGTGGCTTGCAAGGAGGACCTGCCACCCTCAAAGCCTGCAGCTGTGTTCCTGGCTGTGTGCGAGCTGCTGCAGTGTCAGTGAGCAGCTCCCTCCTGGCTCCAGGGTTTTTCCCCGAACAAGGACGTTCTTTATGCTCTCATCTGCTGCCTGGAATAGCATAATAATCTAGAATTGTTTCTAGATTCCTCATGCACCCATAACAACTTCAAATGGCATGAAAAAAATACAGGATTTGGAGAAGAACCCAGAGGATTAAGTAACATTAATTATTATTATTTAATTATTAGAGATATCAATGTTGGAAAAAAAAAAAACAAACCTGCAAAGATGGACAGTAGGGCAAAACTAAACATAAGCAGTATGTATGTCTATTACAAAAAGCCAAATTCTGTTTGAAGATGGTAATTCGCATGTAATCTTGGCCGGTTCATCTTTTATGACCTGAAGAGAACTTTCAGCATTGAGTCATTAGAGCACTAACAGTGAACTAGTACGTACATTATTGAGCAAACAGTCAAAGAGCACAAAGTTACTGGTCAAATCCTAACCATGGCTATATCTCACATCAGGGAATTCGCAGTTTGTTCAGGTCTCAAAAACTGACTGCATGCCACAGTGGTTCACTGGCTCTACTACAGACTGGGTATAAAAACGTCTGAAGGGAGGAAAGAGAGAAATAGAAAATTATAAGCTAAAAAAAAAATAAATACTCGTTTTATTTATTTTTTTTCTTACTAAAAAGATGTTTAAAAACTAGGTTCGATATTCCTCCAATGCGTTAATTCTTACCTCCAGGTACTCCCTGCAAAGTAATACCACTGACAAATATTTCTTACTTCTCCCTGATCTAGATTTTTTAAAAAATGAATTTATCTGCCAGTCTTCCTATCACATGCTTTTGGGGAAAAGTAACATGCCTAACTCACAGGTTAGGGGCTCAACAGAGAGTTCAGAGCAGTGGTTTGTCTGCCAGGGTAAGAGAGACAAAAATGACCACTACCCCCAACACCCTCTCTGAAAAACCCTGATCAACACCCCAACCAAAGTCTTCTGTCAGTTTGTTTCAGCTGAAATCATAAAAAATTGTCGCTTCTGGGATCTATCCCTGTTTTCCCCGCATATCGTGTGGGCTGGGCTGTTTCTACAGGCGCGCAGACAGCAACTTAGATTGTTCACTTTGGCTTCATTCAGATTTAACTAAGCGAATGTCTGCCTTTAGAGACTCTTGTCTCGGGAAGAATACATGCAATAAAAGTCTGTTTTCTGTAGCTGCAGGCGCTTAGTGTCAAACCATGTTATGTTGCACCACACAGCAGTGACAATTTCATTTTAATACATGGGGCACATTTTAACAAGCCAAAGCAGTCCCTGCGAAGAATGCAATATATAAGCTGCCAAGTGAAAGAGACTCAGTGCACTTTGTGCATTTTATGTGGGAAGAGAATAAAAGCGAAACCCACAGTGTTCTGGGATAAAAAGGCCATCACTCGAAAAGCAGCCTGAAAAAGAAGGCGCACATTTTCTTCTCAAGTTTCACAATTAACGGCTCTCAAATACCATTGCTAGCTATCTGTAATCTGGCACACGCTTCACTTGAAACCGACACTAGCATTACCGACTCAGTTTGAAAAGGCAGCACAGCACACAAAGCCGTCGATACGTGCTTCCTTCAGATGCGTTGCTGAGTAACAACTGCATCCGTCCCCTGTCTCTGCCACCTGAGTCCCCGTGTGCCTTCCTTCTGCAGTGGGTCCACTGGGGTAGACCTCCCCTCCGGCTGCACCGGACAAAATATGTTTTTCTCATGAGTTTATTCACGTTGTCTGAGACAGAAACATTTCAAATTGTTGAATGGCTGAGCCTGCTATTTAAGAACGCTAACAGCAATACAACATGTTAAAAGCTAGGCTCCAGGGGATGGGTTTTCTAATGTCAGCAGAACACAGGTAAACTCGGGGGAAGAGCACTCTTCAATCCATTTTTCAGTGATTTTTTTTTTATTATTATTTCACAATTGATGGAACAAAAAGTGGCAAATTACATTCTGGGGGATAGGTAAAGATATTAGATGCTTCCAAAATTTCTGTTGAAAGGTACAACTATTCAGCTCCTGCTGGGAAGGTGAGGACGTCAGCTTTACATGGTAATAAAAATCTGCTTCTGATCAGATCATTCACAATGCATTATTTTCAAACTCTTCAACAGTATGCTTTTGGTGTTGATCCAAAGAGAATCTTAGATAATAATTCATATTCAGATACACCTTGGAGATACAATATATCTGAGCACTATTTTGAGGCTAGAAATGCACTGCAGAAAAAAAAAATCAAAGCCATAGGCAAGATTTTTCTGATATTTTAAATGTAATGATAACTACCAACCCCCCCAAAAATAAGATAAATGTGAAAATTTATTTCCAGTTGTGTCTATACACGAAACTAAAAGTAACTAGACTGACTACATTTCATCCCACTGGAAACGGAGTTCATTTAAAAAATCTGAAGACTGTTATTATCATTTTTCAAGACATAGGTTACAAAATTTATGATGATTCAGTAAGACTAGTAAGACAGCAATGACAAAAAAAATATGATTAATGTTAGGCAAATATAAACAGAAACATCTGAGGTTCACCTCTTGCTGTTAAATACTTTTAAAGATAATTTTTAAAATGTATATTATTCTCTACACAGACTCTAGTGGTTCCAAAGTAGTTATTATGTGTTGTAAGTACTAGGTAACCTTCACCATGGGGAGAAAAAAAAAAAAAAAAAAAAAAAAGGAAAAATTTTAAAAATTAAGCTCTTATACATGTATATTACAAAGACTGAGGCAGTGTCAAGAAACAACATAATAAAATTTATACACAAAGAATAACATGATGATTACATAATTATTATATGTGAAACATTCAGTACCATGTAATTACCAGTTAGTAGTAAAATGTGGGTTTGGTTTACATATACCCTATAGTCTCTTTGCTTAATAATAATAATAATGTAAACGAGAAACAGGCCTGTATTTTTTATATTGCAAGCAAACATTTAAAGATTAAAGATTATTACTACCACACTTAGGTTATGATCAACATACAAATATTATTATTTTATTAATAAAATCAGGAATAATGCTTCTCTACTCTTTAAGGCATTTTGCAAAGATGATAGTAGGAAGGTAGTTCCAGTATTTTGCAGTGAAGTCTGAAGAACTGAGGCCACAGCTAGAATACACAGTGGAGAGCTCAATTTCTTTAAACTATTAAAAAAATAAATAAATGACTAGAGGGGCAGTCTGACAGAGGTGTGTAAGTATCTTTGTGGGTACTAAGTAGTTCTTTAATCTGGTTGAGAAAGTTGCGACAAGAATCAGATAAATGTAGAAGAGAAAACAGGCAGAAATATTTAACTATAGGGAAGATGACCCACTGGCATACATACTTAAAAAAGAGGTGGCTTTTTTTTTTTTCATCTTTATCTTCAAATCGCTTCTGAAAGTTGTATTTTAGTAAAAGACAAGTATTATCTCAACATTAGGTAACCAGGACTACATCAACCATCTGTGATATAAAAGAGCTCTGAGAAAATTATATGGTCTTAACAGTCTAAAGTTACAAAATAGCTTTGATTAGTATGAGGCTTCTTAGCACCCAGTCCTCCTCATAGCACACTTGTCATTCTTCTACGGTGCTGTGTTCAATAACTTCTTGAATTTCTTTTGCTGATTTAATTCCACGCATCCTAAAAGTCTGATATGGCCACAACCTGAGATTTTCTTTTCCCCTGTAACTGATTCAGGTGTCTTATGTCCCCAGCTTATCGCTTACCGGTAAGCGATTGCTTCTAGATGCTTGCACTTTGGGGTTTAAAACTGTTTTGTGATGAAAAATAATGTTCCCCTTGTCAGTTACAGTGTAGGAAAAGATAATCATTTTGACAAGATGTCCTCATTGCTCATAAATAATGTCTTTTCCAAGCGTGTCTTGCTTGTGCATTTTTCACGTTCATTCCTGTTTGCATGAACGACGGGAGGTTGTCTGCTATCACGGATGTATATACGAGATCTGCAGAAAGCACCCCAGTGAGGACATGTTACCATCTCTGAGGGTTTGGGCCATCCCGTAGCATTTGTTGTGCCCAGGGGACCTCTCTGAGCTGCCTGAACCAGTTTCCCCGCACAGAGCTATGGTGCTTCCACTTCACAGAGAAACCTGCTTATTTCAGAAGAAATCTGATGTAACTAAATGACACCTATTTTATCCTGAAAAAAAAATCCTGGAAGACGCGCAGCTTCCTTTGAGGAAAAGAATACACAAATTAAAGGCTTGGCTCTTTCATTTTGCTTGAGTGGAAACTGGAACCAATCCATTTCTACTGAAATCCACGTGAAAATGCTATATATAGAATTAATGACCCCATGAGGGCTCAAATCCTTGTTTCCCATTTTCTGTCACTCCCTTTCAGTTGCTGAGTCAAATTTAGTCTTTGGGAACAACATTTAAGACATATAAAGCGCAGATAAGCAGGAGATAAGTTTAATAAAAAACATGTCCAGGCAGAGAAATGCATCCCACTGGAAGCTCCACCAAGAGCACAAGGTAGGGAAAAGACAAGGATAGAACCTAAACTCCAAACACCACAAGATGGATAAATGCCCCATTATAGACCCCCCTGCTCTTTCTCAAAGGGACATAAGTATCTCCTCAACATTTCCTTTTGCTCTGAGATGATAGGGACAACTAACTGAGAATCTCTTGACTTGGGTCTTTCCGTGGGAATGGCATCGTAACCAGCTTTTATGACCGTTTATGTTGGACAAATTTTCTCACATTACTGGAAAAAGAATAGTATGAACACACAGCCATTTCCACCTAGACCCCATCTGATTTATGCTACTGTCTTTGTAGTCTCAGGTTAAGCATTATACTGGTGCCCGCCAGCAGTGCAATACTTGACTGTCTGACTGTCAGCATTTCCATCATAAATTTCTGTTTTCAGAGGCTTATGACTTTGTTGTAAAACGTCGCTTGGGGGGTGAATCTTGCAAGGTCGTTTTAAGTTACAAGACAGTAAACAAAATAAAAAAGTTAGTGGTTTCTAATTCTTTCTTTGCACTTTAGCATTTAAAAGGACCTATAAAATGCTTGCTCCACTGTTCAGTTGACTGTGGTACATGTACATATGGTATTATTAATATTGCTATCTCTGTAGGGGGGATACTTAAATAATACTTGAATGGCATTTTACTGGGAGCTCTAAACCCTAATTTTTATTTCATTGATTCAGTGGTATCAGTAAGTCCCCCCCCAAGGTATATCCCATTGTTTCCCTGTCCCCTTCTCTGTGTCCCAAAGAGTACTCTTCACAGTACCTAGGGCTTAGGTAATGAAATTTGCTAAACCATATTACCTGATGGCTCCTAACCTTCTTTGTTCCTCCCCCTTCACCTTTAAGGGCTTCGTGCCTATTTTCATGTTATGGCTACCCACTGATATTTGTTCTGGGATTCTGCCTCACCTGTCCCACTCTGGAATTTGCATCTCCCTGGAAGAGCAGCCTCAAGCCTGGCAATAATCTCAGGGATGCACTAGGTTTACCAAATTTGATTTGGGTTGCAATACCAGATGGAAATCTGAGGCTTTTGGAGACACATTCTCATTCTACAGAAGTTTCCAGCACTCTGCAGTGCTGCTGTGAACCCCTTCCAGGGAGGCTTTTCAATGAAAATTTATCACTGCAGGCATTGGAATATTATACAGATATCACACACAGTCTTTGGGGCATGTTTGGGATTTCCAGTTTCATCTGAGATATCCAATTATAAAGCAATTTCCTGGGGAAGATGTAGGATTTGACAGATCATTCTTCTGACTGAAAGTAGGAATGATCCTCATCATATCCGAGCCTGCACTACTGTCCCAGATGATGGATTTGTTCAAGTTAAATTTATAGCACCTTTTATAACACCTTTTCAACCGCCTTCAATTAAACCCTTGAATAAGAAAGAACAAAGCATTTCCCTTCTTCACAAATGCATCCTTAAACTACCTGGATGTTCCCTATCCCCCGGTGCTGCTGACACTTCTCTGCCCCCAAAGCAGCGTCACCACTGATTTGCAGAAATCTCCCTTTAAATATTTCCCCTTTCATTTAGCAAAAATCACCACTGCTTTGGCTCCACTTTGTGTTAGATTTTCTCCCGCTCAAAACCTGGCACTCACCCTTTACAGGCCTTTGTTAAGTCAGGTCTTTTGGCACACAGAGTCACCTTTGTAGTGACAGCACATCTTCAGGATGAATTTAAGTATTTTTCTCCATACTTTTGGTGCATTCTCAAACCCAGTAACTCCAGCTTTCCTCCAAGACCTTCTCTCTTACTTACAGCCTCGGATCTCCTTTTTACTCTTACCAACAGCTTCGCTAACGGTCAGTTTGCAAAACCGAAATCATAAAAGATGACAGAGCCGCTTTAAAATTATATCTCAGAAAAAAAAGTCTTCAAATCCAGTTGCTTTGGAGTTTTTTTTTCCTTTGCTTCTTTTGAGGATTAAGGACTATGCTTTCATTTTAAGCTCTGAGGAATCCACTTACACTTTCTAAATGAAAGATCAGATGCTGGAGTCATTGAATGACTCTCAGCAACAGGGATTTAAGAGAAACACCTACAGTTTTAAGTCTTGTGATGAAATCCCTGTGTGAGAGTAACACCGCATCGTTCCCTCTTTCTACAAGCAATCTTATGACAGACTGAACACAAAGCTTCTCATCTGCACCTCCTCCTTTTTCCATATTCCCTGCTCATTAGTTTTTCTTGCCCCTCCTCCTTATTTGTCTCTCTACTGTGTGACCGGCTGTGTCAGTCCCAGCTTCTGCTTGCCGGTGTCGGCAGAAACCCATGCTGTCAGCTGCCAGCAGCAAGACAAACCCTGCTGAAAGCCAGCTCCCACTGGCAGTCTGGAGCCAGGTAGCACAGGCTCCAAAATACAAAGCAGGGGCGAGCTGCGAGGCAGAAGTGGGTGTCCAGAGGTTACAGCAATTCCCTTTCAACTGAATAGATTTCTGTGGAGCCACAGTTGGAGTCCAAAGCTACCCTTCTCTGGCCCCTTGCTCGTAACTCTCCTCCCCAAAATCTCCCCCAGGGTGTACCTCGACAAAGTTGGGTTCAAGCCACAATGAAACATTCTGGAAAATTTCAGGAAAATCTGTTCAGCTGCTTTTGAGGGGTGCAAAAGAGGAAATAATTTAACAGCTTCAAAAAGAGAGCTAGTTTTGTATGTGCATACTTTTAAAGAGGATGAACTTTAATGTGACCAGACATTTCTCGGATCCAAGATCTAAGAGTGTGATCCAAGAACATTTGAAGTTATCCAGGTTATAAATGATTAAGTAGCCACCTGCAGCATTATGAAACTCCTAATCATATTCATTTAGGAAAAAAATGTGACAATAGTTGTCTACAGTAAGCCTTTACTTCCGATTACTTTTTGAATATACTTATTTTGAGATTGACCATTCACATAATTAGACAGAATCAAAAAGTGATTTTTAATCTTCACAGTAGTTAATTAATAATTGTGAAACATTAAATTCCAAAATTGCTGGGTTTTAGTGTCTGCAAAGCTAACTTCTTGTCCTGCACTTCTGTAGCTCAGTTAAGAGCTGTGCTAAGTGAGCAGCACGAGGCATTTCCACAAGGACGCAGCTACACTGATAAAAGGGTCCCAGTCAGAAAATATAATAGCCAGGATCACCACATGGGTTGCTGAAAATCTTAAAAAGAAGTCTTCTGAAATCTTAACTGGTCTGAAATGCAGCTGCCGTCCCCTAGATGTACCCTGCTTATACCCAATCAGTGTTTGCTCACAACGTAGGTACACTAGAAAGAAATCCTCATGACTCCAAGCAAAGCTAAACAAATTCATCTCTTTTGAGTGACATGCAATAAAATGATACTGAATAGCACGCTATTACAAAAAGAAGATCAGGTGGTCATGTAATTACAGCTTGTACTGGTAATTCTGCAAAGACAAGAGTCAGTGTTCAACTGTGGTTATGAATTCCTGTATTAATTCTGGTCTCCCTCAGGTCAATGTGAAATCAGTGGTATAGTTCAATGCAGCCAAGTTTTTACCCCTCTGTTGTTTGCATGGTGATTTACACAACCTTTACGTTAGATCACAAAAGCTTTTTGGAATATGCGACATAATTCAATACATTTTCACAAACAAAGTCAATTTTTAAAATGCAAGTTTACCCATGAGTTATACCAATCTATATTTAGTGAGCTAGAAAAATTCATGTTATTATCTGCAAGAATGCATAAAGAACAGCGTGTCATCTTTCAGCATAAATGTTTTGCCTTTTTCTATTTGAATTCAGACAGCATTATCTTAACATTGTTTGGGCGTGATGATCTTTCACATCAAGGACAAAGGTAACACTACAATGTCACTTATCTTGCAAGCTGCCTTTTCATCATCCAGTACCCTATTTCACTCAGTGGTGTTATGACACTAACATGAGTGCCATGATATGCCAAGATATGGTGTATTTCAAAGAAATTCAAAGGATGACTAAGTCATTTTGCCTCCACTACAAAGCACAATGTATGAATATTCTGTAGAAACAATTATTTGGGATTTTTTTTTATCATTATTATTTTTGAGCTTTCTTTTGAAGCAGAAGACTGATTTACAGCACAGTTACAGATTTCTCTTCTCCTTATTTGCTTTTTCAATACCTTTCTATATATAGCTCTCCATTCCTTGGCTTTTCAAAAGAAAACTGTTTGATTTAAGAATGTTTCAAGCTGTGGAGAATCTATGTAAATATTCCCTGAGAGTAAACATGGAAACTTGTCTTTCTGTACTGACAACGAGCTACATGGTAATAATATGTTGCCCATTTTGTCTAAACTACTCTGACAGGGCTTGTTATATGCAAATATTTCTTCTTAACCTCTTCTCATAGGTTTGAGTTCCTTGCAGCTTTCAAAGAAGCTGTGTTTTTTCAGTTATAGTTCCTCCCCCTTGCTCTTCCAACTGCTAAATTTACTTTTTCTTGTTGCAAAATATTTGCGAGACATTTAAACAGTTTCCTCACCAAGTGTGTTCTTTTTGCTGTAGGACATTTATTATTATCCAAGCTTGATACTGCATGGATAGCTCACTATTCGTAGCTATTTTTATTTCCATATACATACATTCAGTGAACTAATTTCTGGAGCAATGAAATGAACATCCTTCTGCACCAGTATTCCTCAGCTCAGTAGAAAGAACAGACGTACAATCTGATAAAGGTGCTGCTCTGCATTTTCGATAGCTATGAGGCTTCAGTGTTACAGAGTAGACAGCATTTGCAAAGGACCAAAGTCAAAAAAATATGCATAAATCAAGTAAGAGTAAGGGTTTTACCTGGCAAAGCCGACTCCTCTGCTGACTCCGTTAGCATCTCTTAATATTCTGGTGGAAATGACATGTCCAAAAGGTTTCAGCATATTCTCCAGTTCCTGTTCATCCATGGAAACGGGTAAATTTGAGATGTATAGATTTGTGGGATCTTGCTCTTGTTGCTGTGACAAAATAAGAGAAATATCCTCAGTTAGGCTTAGCAAAATGAAATAGTTTATGGCTTATAAAACGAGGGTTTCTCAAAAGGAGACCAAGCCAAAAAATTATAGCTGCATCACAATTGAAGATAGGAAATTTGTTCATGATGACAACATATTTGCAACATTTCTACAAACTCTCATGCATGTGCTTAACTTTTTGCGTGACTGCTCTTACTGAACTCAGTGACACTACTCATTTATAGAAAATTACTCTCATGCACAAGTGTTCTTGGGTTTGTGTCCTAATTTAACAAACAGATTGTGAAGAAAACATGATTTCCACAAATGTGCTCACTGTTAACATAAATAAAGAAATAAAATTCAACACATGTTTTCAGCAGATGTGCTTCCCAGCCTGCAGACTTCCCATTCAACCTGTTCATCATGAGTAAGGTTGGTTGAAAACAGCAGAACATTTTCCCCAGTATTTTTTCCTTCTTTTTTTCCCCTATCAAAAATGTCTCGGTAGGTAATATGCAAGAAGACCTAACTGGGAGCAGGGAGTTCTGCAGTTCAAGCTAAAGGTACTGATAACACAGGTCACATCTTCATTCTCAGATCAAATTTAAATTATTATAAAGTAAAGTGTTCAATATGACTAATTGAGAAAATAAATTTGAAGACAGCTTTTGCATTCTATTTTTGAACGTGCTTTCAGGTTGTTCAGGCTGTGCTTTCAGGTTCAGTTTCAGAACACTCCAGTTCTGTTCTTGCCAACTGAACAACTGAAAAGAAATGAGGCATTGGTGCAGTATGCAAAATAAGTGTATTAAAACAGTAAATGAAAACCTTGTCTACAGACAAACAGGTCCTGATTACGCTAAATCAATTTAGCTAAGACCTTGCAAATTTTCATGGCTCCAGCGCCATATTCACTGGTAGCAGCTTTACTTACTATCTGATCACCTGTCAGTACAAGCCTCATTTAGATCAGACGTGATGACTTAATTTTCTCTAATGCTTAATAACCAAAAATATGATATGCAATTTCTATGCTATGCAGTAAGCCAGATAATACATTACCTAACAAAGTCTTCTGAGACAGATTTTTGGATTTTGTTTCTTACACGTTTTAATGGGCAAAATGAATTTGTACTAGTTCAACACTGAGATGCATATGACGATAGCATTATCTTTTTTTTTGCTAGGGGGTGTCCTAAAACCAGACAAACAACCTTGCAGCAGCACCACAACCTTACGCTGAGCAAATCACACACAGTCCTGCAGCCATCTGCCCCAGTTTAACTAAACTGGTTTCAAATTACGTCCCATTAAAATCAGCGCAGACGTGTCTTGTCAAACACAACGAATCGCAGGTCCCATTTTTGGAAGATGTATGAAGACAGCACAGAACCAAGATGTCTGCTCTATCTCTGCCTTACACATTCAAAGCTTTGAAAAGCAAAGCAGAAATCCGAGTTTCAAGCTGTGATTCACAACCCCATCCTTTACAGGGACATGGACGACTAAACAAAGTCCAGCTTAGCAAAATACTAGAATCAGAAGCCAAATAAAGTTTTCAGCTTCACCTATGCCAGGCTCAAGGGATATTTTAGCCCTTTTGGATGAGAAGAAAAGCTCCAAAATCAGGAGGCATGTAATGCTTTTCTACTGCATAATTTGGATTCTGACCTAAGAACTGCAACTACTTGCCTTTGGACATACTGCTTAATGCCCATTGTATCCTACCTTTGCATCTCCAGACCCATTACCCCTGGAAACTACCCATTACCATGCAGGTTGAATTCACTGCTACTTTACAAAACAGAAATAAATGTAGGCAATGTAGGCACATTGTCAAGCTGCTGTCTGTAAAAATATACCCAATTATTACCATGCCTTATAGTAAGGTGCAGAGGACAGGAAAACCACACACACAGACGGCAAACTTACTGCTGATTGAGAAGTTACAACACCAAAATCCCCAAAGAAAAACATTCTTTCCCTTTCCAATCCTCTCTCCCTGCAGTCATCCTCCTTTCTTTTTCACTTCAATTTACGTTCATGCAGATCAGAAACCTAGTTCCTCTCCAATAACCAAAAGATATTAGTGAGGGGTTGGAACGGGTACAGTATTGACAATGTAAGGGAAATCATGTAAACAGTACTGGGGGGAAAGCAGGCAAGAAAAGAGGAATATGAGATTTTGATTATATTTTTTAGCTTTAGGAGGGGGGAAAAATGGAAGGAAAGGAAGGAAAGGAGGAAGAAGAAAAGGAAGGAAAGGAAGGGAAAGAAGGGAGGAAAAAGACTAAACATTTTCCTTTTTTTTTTTTTTTTTTTTTTTCTTCATCTTTCCCCTTTTTTGTGTACAAACTGTTTTAAGATTTATTGCCTGTAACTTTTTTTTTTTCCCCCCTGCACAGGCCACAAGAGGGAAACATGGAAAGATAGATATAGGAGATGAGGAAATGTTTTCATTGTTCCTAAGTACTTTGAAAATCACAGAATCACAAAATCACTGAATGGTCGGGGTTGGAAGGATCCTCTGGAGGCCATCTGGTCCAAAACCCACTCAAGCAGGGACACCTAGAGCAGCTTGCCCAGGATCACGTCCAGGCAGCTTTTGAGGGAGTGCTCCCTCCTCTGTTCCAGATTTGGGCTCAGCTCATCCCTTCTTCCCCACTTGCTCCCAGAAATATGAACCTGAATTTCCTATATGCCTGGTAACTTGAAATCAACAGGCTGATGCAACTGGAGCAGGTCTGGGGGAAGAGGGCCCCAAAGTTGGCAGCTCCAGCAACGCGTTGCACAGGAAGGAATTATGCTACGGCGATTGAGCAATTCACTGATTAGTTACTGAGAAACAGGGAACTTTTAGTAAATAATGATCACTGTACATTTGATTTACACCACTCTGCCTGCACCTCGAGCTGGAGGATGGCTGAGCATCAGAAACTCCCAAATGGGTTCCCTCACAGGAGCACTGGGGATGCAGCACAAGCGTGGGCTGACTTTTAATTTTTCTTTCCACCATGCCAAAGCCTACAAAGCATTAGCTGCAATTAACTCGAATTAGAACAAAGAGTAGCCCCAGCCTGTTGTCCCTCTGTCTCCCCTGCCTCCTGTAGGCTCGCACCAGCGCGGCCTAGTGCACTCCCCATAGACTTGGTGGGGCCCTGCCAGGCCTGCAGCCAGCAGGAGGAGCTCAGGCAATTTGAGCAATAGAGGCAATTAATATTATGCAAACCTCTACCCGTTGACTGGTTACAGACTTTGATTAATCAACCAATTGGTGCTCAGGGACTGACATCCCTTGTCAATATTAAGGGAAAAAAAAATCTAGCAGTATTATGCAGATGAGATCCCCACAGCCAAAAGGACAGACTAAGATGGAAAGAGCCGCGTTATGCCTCAGTAACTGCACAACATCCTTTGCTTTCACTGAAGCAATTCATTCCAGCAGAATATTAAAATGAGAACTTTTGACTACTCAGTTTTCAAGCTGTGGCAAACAAATAAAATAAATAAGAGCTGCCGCCAATGTGTCTCACTTCTGGAGTAAGAACACATAAGCCTTTTAACTGTGTTAGAGATTAAATGCTGTTGTTTTAAATATCCATGGAAAGTTTAGCTACGCTCTGAGGAAGAATGAAAGACTAGCAGGCCACATCACTCTCTCACAAGGATTTACCAATCCTATCTTTTATCAATGTGATAAACAAGGGCTGCAAGCAGAGAGAGAGACAGATGAGGCCACTCACGCTACCTCCACAATGCAGCAGTGTTTTCAAAGAAAGGGGAAAAAAAATCCATGTTATTTTTCCTTACTATACAAATATAACATTTAGAGAAATACCCCTTTCCTTTAAAGAGAAATATAACCCCAAAGAAGCCATATCTCACACCACAAAGTAAAACAAGATAAAAAGCCTTCCCCAAGCGATGAAGCTTTGTGAAGCGTGTTATGCTTGGAGGTGAGCACGTATTACAGGAGCTATACAGAGCGGCGTGCCCCTGCCACCACATGGGAAACCAGCAGTGCCTCGCACAAGACCCCACAGCCACGTACCCTCCTCACAAGGCACATTTCTTAGCCTTGGCCCCACTCCCCACATGGGGCTGTGTTGTTTCTAGCACAAGGGCTCCTCACTATTTTTTCCTCTGCAGCTCAGAGGTGCTCGTTTCACCTGAACCTTTACATCCCAGCTTCCCAAGCTCTGATGTGCCATACACACTTCCCACCCCCAGTTTGGCTGCGAAGCTTCTCACTTTAAAAGGCAGGTGTTTTACTGTTCAAATGTGCCTGTTTGCAGACCAGATGAGCCTAACCAGAAAAATACATGTAAGCATCCTGCAAATTGCTCACCTTTCATCATCCAAGCTAGTTTACAGTCAAGTTACTGTCTTCAGGAAAGGTTCACATCCCAAAGCTGCAGGACTGGTGGGGACTGTGGTGTCTGGACCCACACAGCGTGCCAAAACTCTCCCTCTTTCATTTAATTCTTCCTGGGGCTTGTCACCAAACATTAAAAAATACTGCTTTTCCACCTTGAGATGCTAAAATCCCATTTATTCTCATGTCCAACCCCAAGCTGGCCAGCCATCAATATCAGCCCATACTTTCAAGAGAAAGAGCTTAAAGTCATTCATGGGAAGCTCACCATCCCTTCAGAACTACATTTTCCCCTTATGCCTCCCATATTCCAGATCGGAGTAGAACGGGTCAAGCAGCAGAAAGCCAAACACCACCCCCACACATGTACAGCAAGTTTGGACACCCCACATTCACCGCAGCAAGGCAATCAGCAAAGTGCTGCAGAGCCCCCTATGCCATGTGGTCCCTGTCCTACCACACTGGGGACACCAGAAGGGAATAACACACCAGACAATCCCGCCATGTCCTGCCAAGGCACACAATAACCCCCAGGTGAGAAGGGGGCTTGGAGGAGGCAGCAGCACAGCTCCTCTCCTTTTCCCAGACCCCGTGCACTAAACACCACTAATTAATGGGTGCAAAG